GACAAACTTTCTGCAACGCGTGGGAAAAGTAAACTGTGGTCGTGTTTACATATATACAATCCCTAAGGGTCCAGGACCATCCTGAGGACATCCTTTGGTCCCAAAGACCATTCTCAGGAAGTACTTTCACCTCCAAGACCATCCTCAGGAGGTACCCGGACCTGGGAATATAAGGACTGGAATAAGCTTCTAGGTACTATACTCGCAACAAGAAGCTACGTTCGTCGCTTCCAAAAGGGAATCGTTTCACCTCTAGGACAAAGGCTCCATCGAGTCGAACGGAGCGAGCGAGTCGCCTGGGGAGGCCTCCCTTTCGGCAACTCGGGTGGCGTCCAAGCGCACCGAGTCCGAGTCGGAGGCTGCCCGTGCGCGCGGCGGAAGGGTTGGGATGGAGGGAATCACATGTGTAGATCTGGTTTGTTCATGCTTTTTGTTCAATCTGAATGATTCGATTGATGAGGACCAGATTTTGATGTTTCACGAACGATCAAGAATATAGTGGATCTTCTATCTGTGCAGAGCTTTTGCGTTTTCATCTATAAAACCCGCCAAAGGGCATAATTTGTTGGAATATCTAGGTATACATTGTATACCTGGACATTCGAAACGGCACAAAACAATGACATTTCAGAAACAACATGCACTTACAGCGTGTTTTTGCAAACAATTGCGTTTTTGTTGGTACAGTTTTTAGGCGTGTCCAAACGGCATGTTTAGGCATCCAAACAGCGACTTTCCCCATCCATGGATCTTGATAAAATGTTTGCAACCCTTGAAATGGCATTGATTTTGGAATACAGCCTGTTTTCACTGAACTGGTGTGTAATGTATTGGCTCTGGAGGTTGTCACAAAGGCAGACTGTGTTCTTGTCCTGTTTACTTTGAGCAATGTTTGTGGGACCGTTAACCTGAACCTTTTGTTGTGAGTTCCCTTGATGACTTTGGCCGACCTTGGATTTGAATTGGACATATATAGGTGCTCCCACCCCAAACCCATAGGGTTTCTTGTGATTGTGCAGTTACAAATACCAGTGAACTGGGATACACCTCCAGAGGGAAAAATCCACCCATTGAGAACTGGCGTCGCTTGTGAGAGATTTATGATTTGGGCGATCACTTTCCTGAGTTCTTGCCTAGGGATGTCCAAATCCCTTCTGAAGTTTTTTCACAGGAAGAAGGGCGGCACTCAACATTGCCAGAATCCTCATGAACTTACTTCTCCAGCGCCTGTATCTTATTATTTCCTAGGTTTTGAAGGTATAGAAGTACAAGAATCCAGAAGAAATCCATCGTTTCCTTGGCACTTTGTCATAATATTAAGTCATTGTTGCTCAATGATGAAAGGTTGATTGTTGACTTTTCTGAACAAGTATGTTCCTATCCTGCAATTGCACCATCTCCCATAGTTGAACCATTGTCTCAAGCAGAAGAGGCCGGCCTTTGGCAATGATGACTCGAACGCACCCTGTGTGTGTGTGCCGTGCAGGACACCCATCATACGCACAACACCTCCCATTCAAGTGATCTTCTTGGTGCTGGCAAAGACTTATATCATTGTTATATCATATGTTTCCTCGTGCAGTATCACGTTTCAAGGCTTTTGGCGCGACGCGCCGCGACGTTGGCATATGGTTCTTGATCTGTGACATCCACCCACTGTTGGGCAAAATGGTCCAAACCCTCAAAGGTCTCACGCTCGGCTGAATCGTCCTGACTTTCTCTGAAAAGGACAGTTCCCTTTTGGCCACTCAGAAGCCCGTATTTTACTTGGCAGGACAACAATTAAGAGTGTCACTTCAAGTTCCCTGTCAGCAGTTGTAGATAGGTGAAACATCGTGTGAAATATCTCTATATATAGGTGTAGTTGGAAGGCTCGGGGCGGGTGTGACGGCCTTCAGCGAGGTTGATCGAGATGCCAGTGCGAGAGCCCGGTAGTATCGGCGGTGACGGGGCCTGCGGAACCCAAAACCATGTGCGTTTTCATGATATAAAGATATATATATATATATATAACGCGAGAACTTTCTTTTTTTGCAGTGACGCAGTGGCACATGTGAAGCTGGGGATGGTTTTGCCGGCAGGATTGAAGAGCTGGAAGATGAGTTTGTCATCCCAACACGGTCACCGAACCACGGCCCACCCTATGACCTGCCTCCCGCTCAAGCAACGTCGCGTCCGTGCCCATCTCCAGGTCCGACTCCCCCGGAGACTCCCCGAAACACGGTCACCCTGATGGAGCGTGAGGAGGCGGGTTGGTGGGACGATCTGAACACAACGAAGACACTGTGGCCGGTGGCGCGTGTTCCAAAAAAAAAGGGGAAAACGCAGAAAAGACAGATGGGCACAAGGTAAAAAGGGAGAAGAGTCCATGTTCTGAGTCCATAGCTGGATGCAATCGAGTTCTTCACCTGGGTGGGGAAAGCGATGGGAGACAGGGTCAGTGTGAGATCTCGGACATTCAAGAAGCAGAGTTGTGATTTTCAGAACAGATGGGATTTAGATGTATTCTAAAAGTTCGGAATGTCAAAAGAATGGTTTCAGAAGCATCATGGAACTGCATGCCGCATGGATCGAATCCTTGGCGACCAAAAGGATCAAAAGAATCCGAGGCGACCAAGGCAACCGTTGAGGAACATGCACTGCCTTGGGGAGCATTTCCATCAACCAGGGCTACAAGGTGGAGTAATTGCTATGGCAAGGATCTTGCCAACATAAACGTCAGTCATTCTTTTATAGCATGGCAAAAAGAGGACATCTGTTTAAAGGAGTATCCATAGCTAGATGCCGTGAACGTTTGAACAGATCTGTCATGATCATTGAGCCCTATGATCAGGATGTTCCTGGCACTGACAGATCTATCATAACCATTAATGATCTATCATTCAGAATCCCTACTAGGCCCCACTGTGCGTTTGTAAGGGTTCGTTATTTTCAATACCCCAAGCAACCGGGGTGATATGGGGCCTTGACCTGGGGTTGTTTTGCTCATGCGGCATGTTTCGCAACACAGGACATGGAGGAAATGGACCAACTCTGCGAGGTGTGGCGGTTCCGCTTCTTCTTTGGTTGTTCTGTGTGAGCTGAAGTTCTTATTATATGCTTGAATTTGAGCATCACTTGAGCAGCTGGTCTTTTTCACTAAAACACCCAAGACTACATCAATGAGCTGGCTCTCCACCCCGAAAATGGCTAGCCGCACTGCAAACACCTGCGGTGTTTCCTTTCGAACATTGGCACTCCGTCAAGGGGAGAAAGGTGGCACGAAACCGTCAATCGACTTGCTCCAGGCATCACCCCATGTCCCTTTTTGTTCAACCTGCTTGGTGATTGTGGACGTGAGTTGCGCGTGACTTTGCGGTTGGAGCCGGATGAAGAGCCGAGCGATTTCGCAGAACGCAAGGGTCAATGTCCGTACGTACGTAGTACGTACCATTACTCCTGCGAATGGATGTTGTCGTATGACAGAGGTCATATACGCTATACATACCTAACCATCCTAAACCTAGACCGTAAAAGACCTTTATTCTAGACCACCAACCACCCAAACGAGGTTGTTTTCCTATCAAAACAGAGGTCACGTTTGTAAGTGTGTGTATTTGTACAATCTATATACCCTTTAAGTGTCCAGGACCATCCTGGGACATCCTTTGGTCCCAAAGACCATACTCGTGTTCAAGGCCTTCAGCACTCTTTGAATGATTAGGATGTATGTTCAGGGAATCACTAAGTACTGAACGCTTGTGTTGAATGCACCCCCTTCCCCATCTAATCTATTCGTCGTTGGGATGACCCGTCGCGTCAGCTTTGCCTTTTTTCCTGGGACTGCTTTGCCACTAAGTGCGCCCATCCAAAAAGTGTTTAATACCATGTATAAACAAGTTGGAACACCGTCACACTCCAAATTCCTTGCTGAACTGCGTGTGCCTCTTTTTCCCTCCGAAACAATGACCTGTCACATGCCAGATCTGTCAGGTGACGGCCTCTCCGTGGTCCACTCTAGCTCACAAAAGCCACCACGCCTTCCACAATCCCCACCCTCCACATTGGTCCAGTCTGGGCAACCCTATGTTCTAAGAAAGGTTGTCCAAATCCTGTTTCTTTGGATCTTGAGCCTGGCATCATTAAAAGATCTGAATTGGGACACCACTCCACACCCGGCTGCCACCAAACTGTACTCATGAAGCGTGTGTGATTTTCATCTTTAAAATACAAAATATTACAAACGTGTTAAACTGTTAAACATATATTTACAACACATATAAGAAAAGTATAAAAGGGCTAAACAAGCATATAAATGTATAAACAACATATGTCTTTATAGTCCATAAACAAGTATATAACAGTTGATCAGGGTCGATAAAAACAGGTGCACTTGAGAGGTCAAACGCATCGTGCAACACGGAGCCAAACAAATGTCGGACGTGGACGTCCTTTTGACTTAGGCAACGAGTTGATTGCATGACGTTGTTACAAGACATAGGGTGGAGTTTCTACTGAGCTTTGCACGTTCTTCCTACAGATTGCCTGAACATGTGTTTTTTTGGGCGGATGCAGCTGGTTGTTGCTGTTTTGTGGGTGCTCATGTCCTCGTCTTTGTTCTTATGATTGTCAATTGTTGTGGTTGAAAAGGTCATGACCGTGAAATTACTTGTGTGTTCTGTCCTTGATCTTCTTCCAGCCTTTGTTGAGTGACATTCCTTGCGGCACATGCTGTCAGAGCTGCTGTCACAGTGATTAATGATTACACCGTACCGGACAAGATCTCAACGGTGTTGGACCAGTTCTCAGCGAAGATGCCTCAACATGGCCCAAAGAGTAGATCTGTTCATGTTGGGTATCGTCAAACAGTCTTGCAGCTCCTGCATTGGATCTTTTTTTGCAGTTGGGACCGCGTGCTCAAGGCCCCAAATGCTGATCCCTCCTCACCCACTGGGTGTTTCTGACTCAAACAAAAAAGATCAATCTCCATGTGATTGACTGAACTTAATCTCTCCCAGGACCCGCGTTTCGGGGTTGGCGAATGTACACACCGCTGCTGGTTCAGGACACTGGTTCCCCTGGTTCATACGTGGCGACGCTGCCGCACTCCCTCCATGTCCGCTTTCTGCGAGACGCCCCCTCCCCCCCTCTTAGACTCTTGGCGCCAGGCCTTGCAAGGCCAGCCTCGAAGGCCTTCGCCTCCCCCCCACGGCTTCCTTCGCCCGGGCTTCCTTCAGTCCCGGGCTTCCTTCGCCCCTCAGTCGCTCCGGGGCTCCGTTTGGTTCGCCTTCCAGGCCAGCCCCTCGACGAGTTCCATGGTGGCCAGTCCCCTGGGGCCGAAGGTGGCCGCCCGGGCCGACGTGATCTCGCGCTTTGTCCGTCCGGGCCACAGACCGCGCCGGGGCCGCCGGGGGGGCGAAGGAGGTGCCGGAGAGAAGTCATGTGTTGGGCAACACATGAGAACTGTTTGAGATGTCCCAAAAGAAGCCATAGCTTTTAGTCAGTGCAGACACTGCTTGACACACTGCTTGAAATCCAAGTGATTCCAAGTGACTTATTATATAAATAGCTGCAGACACCGAACCTCGTGATACCTGTGTGCGATTTGGGCCACGCAACCAAAGACGATGGACCACGTTTTGTCATGTGACGGATGGCGTGTCGACGATGCCGACCTGAGCAGTTGATGCGTGTAGATGTGTGATGCATTTAATTAAAGAAAGTTCCTCTTTGGATCACCGAAAGATCTCTAATGAGTTTATCAAATTGGGTGATAATATTCCTGTTAACATAATAAATTTAAGGATCCTAAGACTCCAAAACAAATTCCTCTTTGGATCACCTCAAAGGATCTCAAAGGAATCTAATTTGTTTTGGAGTCTCAGGGAGTTCATCTTAATGAGTTCTTCATTTGTGCACCCCACACAATCGGCCTTTGAGGTGGATTTGATCGTTGGCTGTGGTTCAGAATGAACTGTTTGACTGATTGACCAGGTACCAAATTGATTTGTAAACGACGGCGTTTGGGGTACTTTCGGAAAGATTATTGATAGAACCTCCATTTTGGATAGAACTAGGTAACTAGACGTGTTATTGTCCTGTTCATCATCAGTGTTACACATTCAAAGCAATCCAACACTGGAAGTGAGTAAGAAGACCTGTGGTTGGAAGATTCTCGTTGGGGTCTGGAAGGGCCATGATGCCTTGACGCTTAGCATTGCTTACTCATCCAGCTTGAGGACGGATGCGAAGCGCGCAGATTGCCCTGTCATGACCTAAGAGCTTCAACGTTGCAATGCTGAGACCTCCGACTCCCTTGTCATGCATTGGATGCATGACAAGTGTTGTATGCTTGCATGATGTTGCAGGTGCTGATGTTCGTGATGTTTTTGTTTGGCTGCGAACAGCACGGGACGACATTCTCACATGCAGTCAGTTTGATTTGTTTGATGCTTCTTAGATGCACCAAGGCATCTGGAATTTTCTAGATTCTGTATACAAACGCAAGATATTCGATCTGCAGGTGTGAACATGTAAGATGGATACTACTGGTAGTCTATCCTAGCATGTCCTTGGAGGTTCCAGGTTTTTTGCTGGCGTCTTTTTACGGGTGATGTGGGTCTGGTTGGTGCTTGTGTTTTGTTGGGTCTTACACAGTCTTGACATCCGTCTCAGGAAGACAGCGCGGCATTTGTCGGATTGGAAGCGTCTCAACTGCTGTCCACAGTCCACTTCTGTGTTTATTTGTGCAGGAGGCCAGGGCGCGGGATGGCGGGATTTCAGACATGGTAAATTGTATATGTTCAGAGGTTCTGAACCACCTATGGGTTCCCACAAGTCTACTACATGACACACGAAACGATGATTAACTCGTTGCTTGGTTGTATGATTGATTGATTTGTTGTGGAAGGCTAGAGCAAAGGCCACTAAATTGGATTTTCGGACGCTTCCTGACCGACGGCGCGCCACCCGGGTCGGTCAGAGTGCCATCTCTGCCTCCGAGAAGATCAGCCTCTACCCACTGGTTTGCAGGAAAAGCGTTGCCATGTTCAATACCTATAGCCTATAGGATGTCCCGAGTATGTAGAATTGAAATTACAAGACTCAATCACATTGATGTCGTTTGATGTTTCTGAAAGGTGATGTGCCGAATGACCGACGCCTCAAACATCTTCAGCGACCGAACTCTCGATGTCGCGGGGTTCGACAGAGTGCACCGAAGGAACAGAACCATACCGAAAGACAACACGGAAAAAAACCGTAAAGAATCCAATACCCAGGAAGATGTAGACTGTATATATAATATACCCCGCAAAAGGCGAAAGTTTGGCGAAAGTTCAGCTCAAGATTGGCGAAAGTTCACCCTGCCACATCTGACCCCCAGCCCATTATGAGTAAGTTTGAGTGACCGGCTACTACAGTGATTCTTGCAATTTTGATTCTTGCTGACACCCAGGAGAAACAAAAGAGACGTACTGGGTGTCAACAGTTAAGTAGAAGACACATGCTGACAAACAGTGAAGTTTCTATTTTGTGTTTGCCAGTAAAGAAGAAGCCATTGACGTGAACAAAACACAACATACATGGCACACATAAACACAACGTACTTCGGCGAAAGATAAAACGCAGGAAGGCGAAAGTTTGGCGAAAGTATTTTTTTTTGGCGAAAATGACGGATCCCGGATAAAGGAATTTAGATCAACTCCCATATAGACTCTTCATATATAGAATCATATAGACTCTGAAATGAATCACCCCCCTCCATGATGAGCTTGTACACTCCAACTGGAGGGTTCATTCATATCAAGTCAGATCTTCGAGGTCCGCGGAGATACGAACGTAGGAAATAGGGTAATTACTATAAGGCGAATGCAGCAGCTGGCTGCTAGGGGCTGACGGCTTATCCCATTCTTCACTGGGCACCTGCAGGTCCATCGAGCCATCCCAGCGCTGCCCAGTGCTCCGTCGCGAGGCTATCCCGACTTTACGAAAGCCATGGTAGCCAGAGGTTGGTTTCAGAACGAAGACAAGGCGGGCGGCAGCGATTTCAGCGGCGGAAACCAAGTGACAGTGGCTGACCGGTGGCTACTGTTGGACGCCTGTTCGAACGGAGTGATGGGCAGTGGACGGTTGAAGATGCTCCTGTAGCAGCGACCCACTGCTACAGTACTTATGATATCTTATGATGTAGATTGACATGGCTTGTTGATTTCAACCACTTTGTTGGGCCGAGTGTCAAAAAGTATCAAAGGCCGGGTGATGATTTCCACAATTGGAAGCAATGTTGTGCATCAACTGTTGTACTTGATTGCCGCGTCTTCCCCGAAGGAAATATCGATCTGCGGTAACTTATCATGGAAAGTCCCTCCTGCGCTTCGCGCAATGTGTGTGCCGGGCAGTGCACGCGTTCTGCGCAGCGCATGCTTTCTTCGGGTCGACGGTTCGCCCGGGCGACTCCGTGCAGCGTGCGAGGAGTCTCGCTTCTTCGACCTCAAGTGGGCTCCGGCCTCGGCGATTGATCACGACCATCTCTTGCCGAACCAGGCGGAGCTGAGACGGAACTTGGAGCTGAAAGGAGCCAAAGTACGGAAGTCGGGTCAAAGCGCTGGTGCTTGGTATAGTCGAAAAGGCTTTGGGAGTCGAAAGCCGTGTTTCAGGTTGGCAAGTTCAGTTGTAAGATGGAATCTGGATTCGAAGTTCACACCATCCGTACACTGTTTGTTTTCTGCAGTAAAGCCACCATTGTCCAGCTGGCAGGGTGCCTTGTCTTTTCAACATGCCACCTTCAGCCGTCGTCGCGTCGGTTTCGCCGTCCACTTGGCCGATGACGGCGGAATCGAAGCTGGGGGAAGTGTGGCCAGGCGGTGAATCACTTCCATGGCAATCGCGAGATCACCACCAAGGCATCGCAGACGCGGGTGGCTCTTAGAGCCACGCGGGTGAAAAGTGGGTAGGAGGTTGCGGGCAACAGTCGAGGTACACAGGTTTGCCGTGGGTTTTCCAGTGGAACCGGTATGTCTCTGTTCTTTTTTTTTCCGGGAATGTGTTTTTTTTTGTTTTTTTCCACTACTGTTTTTGCTTTTTGCTTCTGCTTTTGCTTTTGCTTCTGTTTTTTCTTTTTGCTCCTGCTTCTGCTTTTGCTTCTGCTTTTGCTGTTTGCTTTTTGCTTTTGCTTCCGCATTTGCTTTTGCTTTTTGCTTTTCCTTCTGCTTTTGCGTTTGCTTTTTGCTTCTGCCTTTGCTTCTGCTTTTGTTTTTTTTGCTTTTGCTTTTGCTTTTTGCTTCTGCTTTTGCTTCTGCTGACTATCTTCTTTGCATTGACACTGCCACAAAGTTGGATGATAAGACCTTCCCCTTGAGCTTTGATACCCCATTACACCAATCAAGAAACGAAGCAGCCCAGAGCTGGGTATATTTGATTTGCATTGCGGGGGAGGCGCTGCGCCCTCCCCCGCACCCCTTCCCGCTTTTTTTTGTAGTTCCCACTACCGTCCACCACCCCTACTATTTCCAATACCTCTATCACTCGGACCACCCCGCTACGAATCTTACCACAGTTACCACAACTACTATTTTCTTTGCGTTGACGCTGCCACAAAGGTGGATTTCTACTTTGCTTAGCCCAAAGAAACCCGATCCACTGAAAGACAACCGCAAAGAAGTCCCTATTATAGTTCCTCTCTCCTCTTCCCTCACTCCTACTTCTCCTTCGTTAAGTGGGACGCCTTTTCCGGAAGAAGCCTAAAGAAACCCTAAAGACAAGAAACCGAGCCCAAAGAAACCCGAAACCAGTGAAGCCTAAAGACAACAGCGCAAAGAAGTCCCTAGTAAGTGGGATACCTTTTCTGTTCCCTCCCTTTGTCACTGTCACGCTGGCTTTGGTGCTTCGTCCCCTGCCCTTTCTGCAGCTCCTAGTGCTTGTAAAGCACTTCCAGCATGTTGGCAAGAATCTTAGGTTTCCATGTAAACAGTGAAGGTCTCAGCCCCCACATCCACTGGGGAAATCTGGCCTGACACTGTTCTGACGTGACTTGATCGGGACACTTGGTAGCACAAGAGGTGGTAGCATCTTCATGTTCGGCATGTGTAGGAAGTAATCTGTGGAGGTCAACCAGCCACTTGTGGTGTCGACGAATTTCCCGATCGACCTGCATCTGGAATTTGCAATCAACAGGTGCGAGTCTGTGGGCCAGCTCTTTTGCAGTAAGGTCTGCTCTTCGGTTGTGTAAAGTGTGTTTGTGGTGCCCGCGGCCAGTGCAAGCTCATCTGTCATGAGCTGATCTGGCACCCCTTCCAATTTATGGGCGGGCACCCAGTGAATCCGAAAGGAGTTCTCACATTGTTGTTGCCGATAGCTGTATAAGTTCAGCAACGCATGCCACCAATCACAACACATCCAATTGCCATCAATGTGACCACTTCTAAAAAGCTCTTTGCATTGTTGCACAACAATGAGTGAATCGAAGAAAGATGATTGTGTTCTGTGTAGCTTTCATGCATGCAACTAACACCGCCCTATACTATTCTATACTCCTGTAGCTTCCCAACTCTGGCCCTCTTTCACTGGTCCACTGGTCGGCTGAGAAACGTGACTCGAGTCACTCAACGTTGGAGGCGGCTGATCCGAATTGATCTCGCACCGACATATCCGTTCGATCTCAACGGTTGCATTATAAGGAGTTTGGCAACAAGAAAGCTACTAGGGGCTCCTGGCCTTACTACTAGGAACAAGAAGCCATTAGGGGCTCCTGGCCTTACTACTAGGAACAAGAAGCTACTAGAAGGAGCTACTAGGGGTTCTTGGCCTTACTACTAGGAGCAAACAAGAAGCTACTAGGGGCTCCTGGCCTTACTACTAGGAACAAA